GTAAACTGATAAACCTTGTTACCTATTGAGAACTTGAAGTAAGAACCTTCCATTTCATGAAGCCTTGAGCAGAAGAATCGAATCAGATCTTCATTGTAATCTTGAGCCAATTGTAAGAAGTAATCAATCTCGTGATGTTTCACAAACTTAACAACATCTAACAAATACAAGCCACCAACTGTAGCAGCCTTCCACATGTATTGCTTTACAACAAGATGGGTTTTACACTTAAGCTCAAAATCCTTGACATACTTCTTAAAAATAAGGTGAATACGTTCTCAGTAGAAATTGTTGAAGTGGTAGCCTTGTTTTTACCTTTAGCCATAATCTTGGGCTTATAAGGCATGAAAAAATGTTGAAATGATGTGTGCACACCAAGTGTTTGATGAAATGATTGAATGAAGAATGAGTGAGTATGACAGATTCTTGAGTATCCACACACTCAAACAAGATGAGCAAACACAACACTACACAAAGAACCAAAGATAAACCACAAACAAGAGAGGATTTTGGATTTTTAATGAGTCGAGGTTTTGGAAAGAAAATAAAAGAGATTGATGAAAATGGGATTGATTTACTGGAAGAGTTTGAATACAAATTATGTGAGATTGATAACAAGAAAGGATGAAATGCAAATTTGATGGTTTTCAAGTGCACTTACGAGTTGGAGAAATTTGGAGATTTAATGCATGCAAGAAAATGGAGAGGTTGAACACAAATGACTCAATTATGCACTTATGAATCAATTTTTAACTGCTATGTGCCAACCTATTATTGATATGTGTCGACACATACTGTAGCAGAAACCAAAAAATTTAAAATAAAATAGTTATATGTTGACCTATACGATTACGTGTCAACCTATACTATAACGTTTTTGAAACATGCTAAAAATAATTGTTATGTGCCGACACTGTGTCTGCCTATAATTGAATTTGTAAGGGCTTTTAGAGTTGCAAGTTGACTCATGAGTGATTACATGACGAAAGACTCATGTATATGATGATGTGGTATGGTTTGTTTGCTAGAATCACGCAATCATGAAGATGCAAGCATGAATTGGTTCAAGATATAGATCAAGATATGAAGAAATTTTGAATATAGTTACTATAAACATATAAAATGCAACACACAGTGGTTACATTTGAAATTTTTTTAAGTAAACACATATCACAATCATCATACACATAATTCATCATATACCTTTGACAAATAAACATGTAAAAGAAATACTTACTAAGAAAAAAATTGAAATGATATTACCTCACCGTCGAATGATGCACATGCATTCCACGAGGAACTCTTGAATGAAAGTTGAAATGAATGCAAAACATGCAACACAACATGAATGAAACTGAAGCTTTCTAACCACTTGTCTTCTTAAACAAGCATTTGAAAGTAAAATTAATAATATATCCAAGAGGTACTTTGGCTTGACGATCATCCTTGTTGTTGGACTTTCATTCTTATTCAATCATGATGATTATCTTACTCCTCCTCAAGTTTCATCATCTTAGATTGATCACTCCAAATTTGATGAACTTGATTATGTCTTATTGAAGATAGACTTACATCATTGAACACAATACATTTTTGACACTTCTCAGATAGAACATTAGTAACCATTAACACACTTTTACCAATTTAGAGAAGCACTAAGAGTTAACCTTTTTGGTAACACAATCCGCCTTGCTTGTCACATAGTTAACACAGTAAGGACATATCAGCTTATTATAACTTGAGCTTCCATAAATGAGATCCCATACTCTCTTGATAAAGGCAAGACATTTTTTCTACATGATAAACAATTAGTGTTAGGTACCCAATCTTCATTGGGTCCTTGGGGATTAGTGATATTTTCATTGCATTTAGGCACCTATTGAAATGCGCCTTTAGGAATAATGAGTATTCTAAATTTGTACTTAGCAATAGTGTGCCCCTTCTTGCAACAATAATAACAATACAAATTATGAGAAGACAACCTTTTGCTATTTGGTTTCTTTTTAATATAACTATACCTTCTATAAGGGTTATGAGAAGGAAAATCATATTTGAAAGTGTCTATAGCAAAAGTAACCTTAGGGAAAAACCTTATTTAACCTAGCTTTAAAAATATTTGACTCTTTTTAGCCAAATATGACAAGTTTCACAACCAAACCATGAAGGCTTAGTGACTTCATTTTGATCTTTTGAAATATATAGTATAGACTTTCTTAGAGCTTCTAAATTCTTTTTATTTTTTAAAATCTTATCTTTTAAATGAGAAATAATCCTCTTGTTTGAAGTTAATCTTTTGAAAGCGTCTATGATTTATTTTTGTAGATTTTCAAAAGATTCTTAAAGTTGAGAAAAAGCTAAATCACAAAAAGTTTAAAATTTAAAGTGATTAATTTTGTAAATTTTTATCCTATTAATTGTGAATAATTTTATAAATACTCACCGAGGATCGAACAAATTGCTATTTCTAAAAGTGCCAAATATAAATGGGGTGGCAAGTTAAGTGCTTTTATATCTATATATAAAACAATTTACACCTTTAATCATGTCATCGGCAGTAGCACTGCGGGCAAATAAAACATTTTCGGGAATTCTAGTTCGACTCCCGGCTACCGAATACTCTTTTTATTGAATTCTTCCTTCTTTTTTTTTTTTACTTTTACAAAAATCTAGATTTATGAAGAAAAAATAAACATAAATCATGAATAATCCAATGGTTATGTTTTTGTTGGAAGTGTTACATGCATAACAACAATGGTAGTGCCAAAGTTGAACTCATTTTGCAACCAAAAATGTCTTACATGCAAATATCTCAGATATTCTACGACGCTGCTTTTCTCGCAAGCTTGTAGCTTCTTCAGCAAATCTCCACACATTTCTCGCAAGCTTCATGCTCAACTCATACTCTCCGGTTTAGACTCTTCCCTTTTCTTACTCAACAATCTACTTCACATGTACTCCAACTGTGGCTTGACACACGATGCTTTTCAAGTTTTTCAAGAGACCAATCATCGTAATATCTTTACGTGGAACACAATGATTCGTGCTTTTGTTAATTCTGGTCGAATTAATGAAGCAGATAAACTGTTTGATGAAATGCCTGTGAGAGTTAAAGACTCTGTTTCTTGGACGACTATGATATCGGGTTATATTCAAAATGGTTTTCATGAACATGGTGTTGAGACTTTTAGTTTAATGCGTAGGGACTCGAATGGTCGATATCAATGTTACGACCCCTTTTTGTTTACTAGTGTAATGAAAGCTTTTGGTTTACTTGGAGACTCTCGATTGGCTCTTCAGTTACATGGTTTGGTCATTAAGTTTGATTTTGGAATGGAAACTGGCATTCAGAACTCGCTTGTTGGTATGTATGTTAAGTGTGGAGATGTTGGTTTGGCAGAGACGGTTTTCTTTGACATTGAAAGACCAAGTTTGTTTTGTTGGAACAGTATGATTTATGGTTATTCTCAATTGTATGGACCTTATAAGGCTCTACAGATATTCAACCGAATGCCTGAACGTGATGAGGTTTCTTGGAATACGCTGATCTCGATTTTCTCTCAACACGGTTTTGGGGTTGATTGTCTTGCCATGTTTGTAGAGATGTGTAATCAGGGTTTTAGTCCGAATTTCATGAGTTATGAAAGTGTACTTAGTGCTTGTGCCAACATTTCTGATTTGAAACGGGGTGCTCATTTGCATGCTAGGATTCTTCGCATGGAAGATAGTTTGGATTTGGTTTTGGGTAATGGTCTTATAGATATGTATGCTAAATGTGGATGCTTAGGATTGGCTAAGTGTGTGTTTAACAGTTTAAAGGATTGCGATCATGTTTCTTGGAATTCTTTGATCACTGGTGTGGCACAATTCGGCCTTGATGAAGATGCTTTGATATTGTTTAACCACATGAGACAGGGTTCTGTGGTGTTGGATGAATTTATTCTTCCTACCTTCTTGGGGTTTGTTCGGGTCAAAATTATGCTGCTACAGGAGAATTACTCCACAGATATACAATCAAAAGTGGGATGGATTCCTCTGCTCCTGTAGGGAATGCAGTCATAACAATGTATGCAAAATGTGGAGATACCGATAAAGCTAATCTTGTGTTTAGACTAATGCCACTTAGAAATACCATATCGTGGACCGCCATGATCACAGCATTCTCTCGGAGTGGAGACATTGGCAAAGCACGAGAATATTTTGATATGATGCCTGAGAGGAACATCGTTACTTGGAACTCCATGTTAAGCACATATGTTCAAAATGGCTTCTCTGAAGAAGGTCTCAAGCTGTATGTTTTGATGAGGAGCAATAGAGTCCAGCCAGATTGGATCACTTTTACAACTTTAATTCGGGCCTGTGCAGACTTAGCTATAGTTAAACTTGGGATGCAAGTTGTTACTCATGCTATGAAGTTTGGACTCGGTTCAAACATTTCAGTTGCAAATAGTATCATTACTATGTATTCAAGATGTGGACAAATTGAAGAAGCCAATAATACTTTCAACACAATAGGTACCAAAGACCTGATTTCCTGGAATGTTATGCTTGCAGCATTTGCTCAAAATGGTTTAGGTAGGAAAGTGATTGAAACTTTCGAGGATATGTTAAAGTCGAAATGTAAACCCAATCATATAAGCTATGTTTCTGTTTTATCTGGTTGCAGCCACATGGGGCTAGTAGTTGAAGGGAAACATTACTTTGATTCCATGACTCTAGTTTTCGGCATTTCTCCTACAAATGAGCACTTTGCTTGCATGGTAGATCTGCTTGGACGAGCAGGATTACTAGAGCAGGCAAAGAATTTGATAGAAGGAATGCCTTTTAAGCCAAATGCAACTGTTTGGAGCGCTCTACTAGGAGCATGCCGAATCCATCATGATCTGAGACTAGCATAAACTGCTGCAAAAAATTTGATGGAATTAGATGTTGAGGATTCTGGAGGTTATGTTCTTCTAGCAAATATATATGGGGAGTCTGGAGAGTTAGAAAATGTCGCCGATATGAGGAAACTTATAAAAGCCAAAGGAATTCGAAAGAGTCCTGGTTGTAGCTGGATAGAGGTTGATGACAGAGTAAATGTTTTCACCGTAGATGAAACCAGTCATCCACAGATAAAGGAAGCTCATATGAAACTGGAGGAGATGATGAAGAAGATAGAAGATACCGGAAAATATATTAGTGTAGACTCTTCTGTTCATAGAAGTCGTAAGTATCACAGTGAAAAGCTGGCTTTTGCTTTTGGGTTGCTTAATCTTCCATCTTGGATGCCAATACGTGTAATGAAGAATCTTCGTGTCTGCGATGATTGTCATTTGGTAATAAAGCTTCTGTCTTTAGTCACCTCAAGGGAACTTATCATGAGAGATGGATATATATTTCATCATTTTAAAGATGGGTTTTGCTCCTGTAAGGACTATTGGTAATTTGTGGTATATATTGAATATCTACTTTCTCTCCCATTGCTTTTTCGTTATCATTTTCTATTCCTCTTTCCATACCAGAAGTTGGCAATCATTTTGCGAAGAGAAAAAATAATTCAAGGGTTATGCTAAATGAGGTTTACTTTGATTCAATTTGATTGCTTGGTTATAAAATGAGGATCCTCTATTGAAAATAGAACTATCGAGAGGATCCGTACATTAGGTGTGATAGGGTTTTGAATAATATTTATAAACTTCATTCGTCCTATAAGATGGTTTTGCAGAGTTGAGTAAATTTCAACAAAATTTCTAAGATAATATAAGTGTCTTTCTAAGATCCCGGGCCACTCACTATTAGGCCATTCGAGTCACACTCCAGTTCAGAGACCATTGTGTTTCTTACCATTGCCAAAAGGGCACACAGACCACATTGCTAAGTCACCCTGCCAGGGAGATCTGACAAAGGAAAGGTACTGGAAGTTCCTTCTTCCTTCTTGGACAGGTAATTATTGTCGTACTCTAACCATTATACTTATTTGATTGGCAATTCAGTTGTAAGGGTTTTCTCAGGAAATGTTTTGAATCAGTGTAAAGATTATATAGGCCAGGCTAATTCATATATTCTAGTAACTTTGTGTTCTAATCCTTTTTTATAGGTTAACCGTCAAAGAAGATAGTTGTTAACTCTTATTTATCATTGACTCATTACACAATATGTTTTAATATCTGAATTGAATTGCAGTGGCATTTTATTACATGTCATACATGGGAGACCAATTGAATGATTTCCAGCAATAGTTGTGAACACTAATATATCATAAAATGAAGGTGAGAAGCTTTTTTTCTTTCCAGTTTTTTATGTTTCTGTATCAATTTGTAAAGTGGATCTTAGAAATCATAGATCCTTGATTTCTTAGAAAAATACCGTATTAATTATTCTTGGTTAAAATAAAATATTATCACATTTGGTATTTGTAGAAAATAATTCTGACTATTGTAATGTTGTGTAGGTTAATCTAACCTAATGAGTTTGAATAATGGACCAAATACAAATCATACAGGAAGTATAAAAAAAAAGTAATGTTGTAAATATTAGATTTAAATAGTAATCTCTGAGTGTTATTTTAACAAAATTTTATTTCTAAATTATCATTTTTTAATGTATAATTTTTCAATTGTGATATTTAATTATTATTGTGAACACTATTTCTAACATATTAATATTAATAAAGTTAGTTAAGTAAAAGGGTAATGTCTTTTGCTAATTTTATTGTATTTTAATCTATGTCTAGCACTCATTTTGAATGGAAGGGAGTAAGATTTATAATTATCTTATTTATTAGTATGAGACTCGTTAAGCTTATTAGGTTAAATTTAACTTTACTTAAATAAGTTAATTCTAGTATTCCAATCACAATTTTAAAATATACCGAAATATTTTTTTATATGTTATCATGGGCTCCTCCCAATTTAAGGGTTTTGCTTCCGCTTAAATCTTAGTTGTCATTAATGTAGTTAGTTTTTTTTTTTTTTTGGTTTTTATTGTTAGCTTTAGGAATGTTTTTGGTGCGGTTTAGATATTTTTTTGAAGTAAAGTATCATTTTATTAAAAGATAAATTTATCTGCGGTTCGATTCAGTTTTAGATTTTTGATTTAAAAAATTTAATTTGATCGATTCAATTTCATGCAGTTTGATTTGGATCGGTTTTTTTATATCTAAATTACAAATTATATTTTTTAGAGTTAAATATGTTTGTGGTCCTCCTAAATATCTCAAATTTCGTTTTTAGTCCCTCAAATATTTTCTTCAAAAAACAGTCTTCTTAAAATTTTTCATCCATACTTTTGGTCCCTCCTTACAGCTTACCGACAAAATTAATGACGGTTTTAGCGACGATTTATTACTTAGCGACTAAATTAACGATAGTTTTAGCGACGATTTTAGTTTTAGCGGCCAAAAGTGTGGATGAAAATTTTTAAGAGAATCATATTTTTAAAGAAATATTTTAAGAGACAAAAAATGAAATTTGAGATATTTAGGAGAATTACAAACATATTTAACTCTATTTTTTATTAATATTATAAAAATACTAATAAATAATAAGTTTGATATAATATATAACATATACAATACTAAAACTTAATATTACAAAATGATCACTTATGATTGGAACAAATAAAATAATAATAATAAATAGATTAAATCAAATTAATAAATTGTATTTAAAAAAATAAGTATTGTCTAATAAACTAATAAAAAAAAAATATATAAAAATGTATACATGAAATTCGGTTCGGTTTGGACCGATTTTAAAAAATTAATTTAAAATCTGATTCAAACCGAGCGGTTTTTACAAAATGACATCCAATCATTTTTTTTGTGTTTTTCGATTTTTTTTAATCTGTTTATGGTTTTTATTTAGATCGGTTTAGATTTGAACACCCCTAAAAAAGAATTTTAAAATCTAAAAATATTGTTGACTCCGGTCCTATTTGTTTTTCATATATTGTCATCCTAAAGACACTGTTCATTCAATTTTTTTTTTTATTAAAAAAATTTGAGCCAATTTTTTTTCTTGTTATTTTGAGAAGACAATTTTGGAAATATCAACCAATATGTCTTAAATAGATCTATTGTGATTTCTATTTTTGGTGCTATTAATATTGGCCCTCTGAGTGGTTGGATCGTTGATTTTAGTGTCATTCATAGGGCTGGCAATGAACCGAACCAACTCGAAAATAGTTTGGAACTCGATTCGACAAGTAAATCGTTGAACTGGGTTCATGAACCAAATGAGTTGAGTATGAGCGAAAAAATAAGTTCGTTAACTAAATAAGCTGAATTTGAACTATACATAGTTCGACTCGTTAGGTTCATGAGTCAACTCGATTACATATGAGAAGAATTATATTGTCTTTAAGATTAGGTTTAAATATTTACTCCAAATGTTACATAAATTTAATCTTCAATTTAGTAGTTTTCGAATTAAACTCTCAAATGTATCTCTTGAAAGTTGTGTAGGTTTTGAATTAGTAGATTTCGAAGATAAAGTTAAATTTCAATATGATAACTTTTATTTTATTTTAATATTTTATTTTTAAAAAATATATTTATTTAAAATGTCAAATATACTAACAAATATATATATTTAAAAAAATAGTTTTTAAGTCCGTGAATCATGTGAGCTGAATCTAATGAGATGAATCTAACGAGTTGAACCGAATTGTTCGTGAACTTATAATGAGTCGAGTTTGAGCTTAAAAAAAAGTTCGTGTCGAACTCGAACTCGAACTCGAACAACAATTCTTAACGAGTCGAGCCGAGCTGAGGTGAGTTCGACTCGACTTGACTCATTTCCAGCCCTCATTCATCATATGACAATTGATTTTCAATATTTTTTGTAGATAAATAGAGAAAGTATTGTCACCCTACGATATTTGTTTAAGAAAATAATTATATTTAGTTAATTTTGCAAAAGAATGTTGTTAACCTATTATATTGATTTTTTTCCTAATTATTAAACATAAAGTATGACATATTTACAATTAAAAAAAGGGGAATAAGTTTTTTTTCATTATTATTGTGCTTGACAAGATTAGATACTTGTTCCTACATATCTCCCAGTGCGATGTCGAAGTCAAAATTACGTAATTTTTGGTAGAAAAATCTTGTGTTGCAAAAAACATTCTAGACATGCTCGAAATCAATTAAGTCATTATCAAAGTTAATTTTTATAGGATAAATGTTGATAAAACCCTTGAAGAACAAAATGACAGTCTTCGCAATTAAATTTAAGTTCGAGAATCGATTATGCGTAGGAAATACATTAACACCCTACGACAACGATTTAAGAAAATAATAACCAGTAATAATTTTGCAAAATAATATCCCAAGAGCTCGTTAAACACAAAATATGACCAATTTATAAGCAAAAAGGGGGGAAAATTATTATTATTACATTTGATAAGATTTGATTTTTGTTCTTACTTATCTTCTAATACGATGGAGAATTCAAAGCTATGTAGTCGTATATTATTGTTGATGATAGTTCTCATACTCAAGTCAATGATTGTAGAAACATTGATATTTAATCTTTTAAATTAAAAGAGGTGTTTCATGTTTCAGGTCTATTAAACAATCTTATATCTATTTGTAAGCTTTGTGCAGTAATAATTTTTGTTTCTTATTGTATTTTTTAGAATCTTATAATCGCTAAAATAATTGAAGTTGCTCAGAAACATGAAGGATTATGTTATCTCTCTGATGCACAAATGTGTTTCCTTTAGCAATTAAATCTCAGTCTAAAATTTTCCCTCTCACAAATATAACTTCTGGACAAAAGCGTCTTAGTCATACTCCTTTTTCATTAAGTGTATGGTTTACTTTTTATTTTTAAAACAATTTGTTGAGTTTTTTAAAAGTGACATTTGCTAGCTTTTTAAGCATAACCAGGCTATTGTGTAAAAAAAAAACATAACCAAACTTTTTCTTTGAGTCTTATTAAATGTGTCGAATCATTTTATCATATTCATTCTAATATTTATTAGAATATTAATAGTAATTCATATTTATTTAGTTGTACTATTTTCCTTAGCCCCTAAGTTTGTTAGAGGGTATTTTAGTATTTTATCTTATTCTAGTAACCCTAGTTTTAGCTTATAAATAGGGTGACAATCATTGTAAATTTTATCATATTTTGTATCCGTCATTCTTAATAGAATATTTCCTTTGTTCATCATTTATTCACCTTTGCACCAACAATTGGTATCTAGAGCTCCGGTTCAGATTCATTGGGAAACACGGGAAACACGAGTGAACGTGAGGTCTTGTGTGTTTGATTTTGATTCTTAGATTCGTGTTGAATCTTGAACAAAATCTATTCAGAATTTTATTATGTGGGTTGGGAAACACTGTGTGAGAAATCTGAGTGTATTGTGCAAGGTGAAGATGAACGGAAACGGCAACATGAACGCCAAGCTTCCAGTATTTGACGGTAAAAAC